CACTTCACAGGATATCCTGTGAAGTGCTTTGAGATGTCTCGACAACATGATAAGGGGCTGTATCAAAAGCAAAGTTTTTTTATTTTCAAGTGGGTAAAATGTATCCATCATTGCTGAGGCACTCCTGCTCTTGTCAGAAATGACCCATTTCCTGTGTTAAGTATAAGTAGATAATGTTAAGTAGATCACCAAAGTATTAAGCAGTCTGCGATTGATGGGAGTGTGGTCTGCTGCCTACGGAAGGTTGCTGCACGAGCATGTCTCTTGTCTATTCCTGGACTTCCAAGAAAAGCTTTTATAACTCGCATGAAAAAAAAACAAATTTTGGTATTGAAGGATGAGATGTTGAAGTACCAGCAGAACCACCGACCTCTCAGGTATACCCCTGAGAAGGAAGCCACTCTTAAAGTTACTTATCCCATAAAGGATTGATTTCATGGAAAGATGGACTCTCCCCATCTCTCCATTTAAATGGCCCTGGTAATGAAGCTAGCTGTACTCCCACTATGACAGTACCAACAACTTCAACGCTCTGTCTCCAGCTCCTCTGGCTCTAGTAGAGTGACAAGTTAGGAAACTAAATCAAAATCAATTTTGTGGTTTATTGGATTATGGCACCGACTTATTCTGTGAGGAAAAAGGCACCTGTGTTGAACATCACTAAAATTGGTTCATGCAGGTTTCTTCGAAGATGATACAGCGGGCTCAGACCTCAGCACCAGCCTGGCATTTTGATATTCCCTGTGATGGTTGAGATCAAACTATGCCCAAACCTGTATGATGCTGTGCTGAACAATCAACGAGAAATGCGAGAGAGCAACCTGGGAACGAATCTCCTGATTATTTCTTTCCCTCTTTCAAGTATTCTGGTCTCCATTGGGTACCTCTCCATAGCAGCTCAGTGGTGTCAGATTGGCTTCCCACTGCTGTCATTTCTCAACCTGAGATTTTAATTTTGCTCTCTACTAATGGACGTAAATTACTTTAGGATTAATGCCTTTACACAACCTTGTTTTTTGATTGATGATTTACCTGACTTCAGGCCTTGAACATTAAAATTAATCTTTATGAATTAGAAAAATAAAGTTGAGCCCAGCCCAGAACATTTCTGCCTGAATTGAACTTACAGTTATATTGTGGAATCCAAATTTTTACAAGCCTAGGTGGTCAAACAGAATTATTTAACTAAATTGTTTCAAGCCCTTATATAACACAATGATTCTGTTGGGCAATGGTAACAGGAATAGTTTTTCATTAAGGTCTCTGATTCCAAGTGCCTGGAGATTGACCATTTAAAAAAAAATCCTTCATTAAGTGTGTATAGTTAATATTGCTGTCACCTTAATTAATATGAGTGCAAGTTGCAGACCACACTTATGTAAAGTGGTTGTCAGAAGCAAATTTCTAGAAGTGCAAGTTCTTGCTTTATTAGGTGACAGATATGAGGCTAAATGTCTCATCATCTTAGACTTAAAATAAGTGAAAGATACAAATATCACAATGTGATTTCTGGACTAAACATGGACTTGAGTGTCAGGTACCAGGGTTCCAACATTCCTCATGAAATTGTTTTGGAATTTTTTGTTTTGGAAATTGTTTTGAATTCAGTCTTAATTTGGAAGTCAAACTTGCATTCATATAGCACCTTTTACATGGGGTGGTGTCTTGGAGCACTTAACAGTGGCGTAGCTTCACGCTAAGCTGGGGAGAGGGAGAAGTTGACCCTAGGCACGGTCGAAGACGAAAGTCTTCATGTGTGATCTGAAGCCAGGCAAGGAGAAGGCAAAATGGAGGGATTGAGACAGAAGAGAGTTCCATAGTTTTGCCGTGTAGTGGCTCAAAGCACAGCCACCCATGGTGGAGGGGACGGTCTGAATGACGTGCAGGAGGCTGGAGCCAGCCGAGCGAAGGGGATGGTTCGAGGAGTAGGGTGTAAGCAGGTCAGAGAAGTAGGGGTTGCCAGGGCATGAGGTGATTTGTACATGAATGTGAGGATCTTGAAATCGATCCATTCTGCAATTGGAAGCCACTGGAGCTGAGCAAGCTCTGGGCTAATGGAAGGGTGGAGTTTGGTGCGGGTGAGGATACAGGTGGTAGATCTTTGAATGAATTGAATTTTATGAATGGTGGTGTTGGGGAGACTGGCGAGAAGGGCCTTGGAATAATCAAGGCGAGAGGTGGATAGATGGATAAGGGTTTCACTTGTGTTGGCTGTAAGGTACGTTCAGAGGCAAGCAATATAGCGGGGGTGGAGAAATGTGGTGCTAGTCAGGGACTGGATGTGGGGAAGGAAGGAAAGTTGGGGATGGAACCTGATGCCTAAGTTATGCACAGGTTCAGTGAATTTGAGGGATTGGCCAGGGAGGTTCAAGATGTTTAAGATCATACAGAATTTTGGAAAATTCTTGATTCAATCTTAATTTAGAAACTGCTTTTCTGGTCCTTAACTTGGCATCCAGTTTATTAAGAACTTTCCAAAATTCCACATGATCTTGAATTTCAGGCCAATGGTCTTAAGTCTGAGGTTTTCAGAATCTTGGGAGATTGAATTCTATCAAAAGAATGAGTTAAGACCATATCTGAAGGTAGGTAACCCAGCTCTGAATTCAGTAATCTCTTGGAACACTTGATCTAGTATGACATAGTATGACATGGTCAGTTGCAATTTGGAGCTTGCCACCCTTATATAAACCCCAAATAAACTCCATCTCAAGACTCTGCCTTTGTTGCACACCTACAGTAACATAGTTTCCCATAATTATTATTTTATTAGAACATAGTTTCACATGCTCACTATACTTGGCAAGTCTGAAGGAGGATGTTTTGTTCTTTGCTTATCATCCATTGGGAACTAGGTAAATATTTCACTTATGGCCCAATGGATGACAGGCATAGAACAAAACGTAATATTTCACTGTTGGAAAAGAAGCATTCTGCTCCTTTGTCTGCACTGGTCAGACTTCAAAGTATCAAGTGTTATCAGTACTGGGTAGTAAATGTATAATGCTTATTTCAGAATTAACACCTGTAATTAATTCTAATATTTATTTAAATTAAAAATTCACTGTTTAATCCTAGATAATTTGAAGTATCTAAAAGCAGGACCATTGCGGAGAATGTTTTGTTTTTTTCTCCTATGGAATATGAACACAATCTCATTTTTAAAGGTACCACATGTCTTAGTAATTTTCCTCATCATTTCAGAAGATTCTCACAGATAAAGCTGTCAATATAATAACGGCCTCTGAAAACAACGGTCAACCACTTCTTTGAAGAGTACAGTCGACTGAAACATAATATAAAAAGTTATAGGTAACAGTCTCACACAATTTCACGCTTGTTTTCATTCCTCCTGTTGTGCTATGGTATATTCACTGTGAGTATTCAAAAGCTTCCTAAAGAGGAACTCGATCAGTTCTACTTTTGAGTCATCTTAAAAATCAATTAATGCTGTGCTTTATATTGGGGTTGCTGGCTTACCTGAAGTGGTGTTAAGGAAACTGCAGGCAAGACCAAATGTGTGTTGAATACTATGACATGGTCTTAATGACTAAGGAAAAAGGAGTATTTTTGGCAAGCTAGTCTTGCAGACAATACAAAGTGTGCCAGTGTGAAGCAGTGACAAATGAGCACAGATCTCACAGAGCACTTTTTAAGGCCAAGTTTCATTTTTTATTTTTGAACAATATTTTTCAGATGTGTTAGTGAATAGAAATGGTTCACTTGTAATCACTCCTGCATAGCATATTCATATAATTATGGAGATTTCCCTCCATATTAAAGTTCTAAGCCCCCTCTGAAGGTGACGAGATCATAGTTACAGCTTCAGCACAAAAGCAAATGGTTTGTGTGCAGTTTCTTGTGCACTGTCTGAAAAGTGCTGTTCTGGATGATGGTGCTTTTAGACACTAGCAGACTCCAACCAAAATTGACCGTAGTGCTAAGTGATAAGTTTTAGCTCTTATTCACATCTATTATTAAGGTTGAGTTTCCCTTTAACAGTTTTTCTTTGTCCTATAGCTGTATAAAATGTGGACACTAATAATAAAGGAAGTTTCTTTTAATTCTCTTCTGGATATATATATACATATATATATATATTGCATGTATTTAATATTTTCTATAATTAAAAAAATGAACTGGTATGTATTCCTTTTTTTGTCTGATACTGTGACATTTATTGTCTAAAGAACTGCCTGCTGCTGGTGTGAGGAACTGGAGCATTTTAATATGGCATATCTGATAACTGATATTCGAGTGGATCAAATTGAATTTGCTGACCCAGAGCTGTGAATTCAAATCATTTATTAATGAAGCTTACACACAACTTTTTCACAGATTTGACATTTCTGTATGATTAAAATTACTAAAACTTATGGAAACACATTAAGCTTTGACATACTGCCACAAAATCCAAATTACTTAATACAGTAATAGCTTTCCACAGAATCTTTGAGGCTTTCAGTTAATACAGATGCTTCATGCAAGCTAATACAGACCTGTTCTGTCACCTGTTAATGTGTCTAAACTGTGTCTTGGCTTGAGAGTTGGAGGATTAAAATAGTGTTGAAGATTACATGGAAGTGCTTTTACTAAACAGTATTGTCAAAGTGAAGAACCATTGTAACATAAGAGCAAATATTTGAGGTACTGGAATGTCAAAAACTCTTTATATGCTTATGGTATTTTTCCTCAGCTGCACCTAATTATATAATAAAGGGAGATTGTATTGGTGAAAGGAACTCTTTGTTCTTACGATTATTCTTGGAGACCATTGTATTAGTCCCATCAGATGGCAGTTGGTTAGTTTGTCAGTAAATAATAGGGAAAAAATTCAGTAATTGTCTGCATGTGATGCAGTCCTTCGCAATTTAACCCAGTCTGTAGTCTTCACAAAAAAAATTGGTTGTTGCTAAATGTGGAATGTTTGATTGTAAAGTATGTGATGTTTGCTGTTGCCTGTTAAAACTTACAGCTATTTTACTTTTGTTTGCCGACAGAATGCTCTTAGGAATCCCACGAGGGACCATATGTCGGAGTTCACCCCACTGGCCTCTCTTCAGTGCTCCAGCTACAAGAGCAATGACCAAAACACTCATCAAGCTGCAAGGTCTGTCTCAGTTCAGAATTCCAGTAAGGTGATGTACACATATTGGGGTGGTGAGGATTATTATAATCAATCGCTATTTGATTATTCTAGTGCTCCCTGCACCTCTAATGCATACTGCACCTTTACTGGATCTGGCGTGGAAACTTCAGTTTAGTCTAGAAAATGTAGCCTATACTGGTTTCTTGAACTTAATCACTCCCGTGTTATTAAGATGCGAAGACTTGAGAGATCTCTTGGCTCCAGAGGTTTGAAGTACCCTTTAGAAACACGAACAAGACAATTGTGCATCCTTCCTAGGCCAATAGACTTGTCACTACTGATGAAGAATTGAACAATCTGCACAGTCTGGTACTGTGTGGCTGGTGTTACTACAACACTTCTTTGCCCTTTGTGCTGCTTCTACTTGTTGTCAACTAGTATTACTCAAAACCTATTTGATTCTTCAGACAACCCAATCCTCAAATATTTCCCATCTTATTTTCATCCAGGACTGGCAGCATTCCATCGAGGTGACATTGGTTACCTTTTCTACCAGTCTGCCAGATAACAGCGTTCTGTTCGTTACTGTTTATTTTGTAATGAGCTAATGATGCTTTATTTTTTGCTTTCCGCAGAACAAACTGGTGTTTCCTGTGTGCAAACCTCTTTTCAAGGAACGCTCCTTGACATTACTTTTCATCATCTGCTTTCATTGTAAGTGGACAGTCTTGAGGTCAGGTTCATGCTTATTGAATGCTCATTAGTGTCCTATGGAATTGTCAGTCATGTTTTGTCACAAGCAATCTCTTAAGGTGGTCGAGTGATTTTAAAGTGACTCGCACAACACTTCTGGTCTAAACCAGTTAGCAATATTTTACTACTTTTCAGCAAGTCAGGCATTTAAACTGGTGTTTGTTACAGTCCGCATATAACCTGGAGCTAGACATAGTGGAGTCCTGTAGCTCAGTGGTTAGACCACCCGCCTCACAAGCGAGAGACCTGGGTTCGATTCCCAGCAGGGCGAAATGTTAGTCAATTTCCTTACTCCACGTGCCTCTGTTTACCTAGCAGTAAGTAGGAAGCCGATTTGTTCATCGATTGGCGGATCGCTTTTCATGGGGTAATAATTTCTTCAAATTTTTAATTTTTTTTAAATTGGTCACTTCAATCCACGGTTGTCTGTGGGACACTGCTGTGTGCAATTGGCTGCCGCATTTCGTCCACAAAATCAGTCAAATCACTTTACATTATATTCTGTGAAGCGCTTTGAGACTTCTGAGAAGATGTGATAAGGTGCTATATCAAATGCAAAGATTATTATAATTATAATGAAAGTTCTGGAAAGCATTATCTCAATGAATAACTGGGTATGTACCTAGTTCAATCCTTGGGTTTTGCTGAGTTATTTGATCTTAACTGGAATGGCTGGGCTGAGATATTATAAATTGGCTTCAGCCTTGGTGGGGGGGAGAGAATCTGCAATTGTTTCCATTCCTGTTGCTATCCAACAACCCCTGCTGGAGATATGCATCCAGTGGGGAAAAGATTGAGTTCCCCGTGGTGCCCCATGGTGAAATAATTTACCTGATATCAAGGCTCAAACATGAATAATGGCCACTTTAGCACTTTGGAACCATATCCTAGTAGAAATGAAAAGTTGTTAACTCTTAGGCAGAAGAAAATTGGTAGTGGAAGAAATGAAATGAAATCAAAGAAATTTGAAAACCACTCCCTTAATCCTTATGTAGGGATTGTATGGTGTTATTTGACTGGCTACTTTAAGCTAATCCTATATACAATCTGACTCACACATGAATGAAAGACGTGCGTTTTAAATTCACTATACTAACACCTTTGCTTGGACATAATATGCTTTCATTCCTTTTCTAAAATCACTCTTAAAATTTCACACATTCATTTTACCTGCATCATTAGAAAACCAAACAAGAACATATATACAATGCAGGTCTTCTACACTTTGTATTTCAGTGATGAGCTCTTTGTACTTGTGAAGCTGCAGTTGAATTATTTTAAAATTAAGCCATGCGCTTATGAGGAGCAGTCCCTGTGTGTGATCTGTTTACCGACAGAAAGAGAGCCACATTAAATTCACACATTTATAGTAATTGGATAGTGAGACCGTGAAGAGCTGTTTTTTGTATAGTCTTCTTTTCCGTGCTGATGTTTGTGGATTGTCAGAAGTGTGTACTTAGAAACATCAGGGCAAAAATATCATTGCAGGGAGGATGCATTTCTGGTGAGCTGAACTATGTGGAACTTGGAAGTATGGCAGGAAGTTTGCATTTTGTGCCTACCTCGAGCAAATCCTTTTATATTCTAACAACCTTTTGCCCTTCTTTTATATTACTGTTGCAGTTTTTTTAAAAAAAAACAACAGTGTTTTATTTAAGTAAAACATTTATTTAAAAAAAATTGATGCTGCGTTTGTTATGAAGACCACTGATGACTTTTGTGGGGAGAAACAAAACTACACTGTGTATAAGAATTAAATAAAACACTGGAACTTAACAATAGAGTATTTTGCCCATTAAGCTGCCTTAAAACTTTCTACAGTTATATATGTATACAACCAGAAACGACTCTTGGTTTTATTTCTAATTTTGTCTTCATCTTGCTAGATGTTGCTTGTCAAATGCAGTTCATTAATTTGTAGTTAATCACATACAAAAACATACATTTATGCTCACTGCTACTTTTTGTTCTTTTCTGTTTTTAACTTACTATCTTCTCATTGCTTTGTTTCCATCTTTCTAGACATAATTAAGAAGACTTTTGCATGGTGATTAGAAAAATGCTTCACTGTTTCCACTCTGCCTACTAACAAATAATTTTAAAGCAAACTCTTATTAGCCCTCCTCGTTTGTAGAAGATTATTTTGGTTCATATATAGACTGCAAAGCACATTTAACAGTGTAAACGGAATATGCTGAATTCAAAGTATTTACAGCATTTTAAAAAGTGATTGACTTAAACATTTGGGTTATTTTGGAACATACATTGTGGTATATTAACAATGATTGAACCCTTAATGTCCAACAGCGTCAGCAATTTCATCTGCAGTTTTGTAAACTCACCATTAACTATAAATTCATGAACGATTACTAAATCATAGTAAAGGAGGGTCCCTTGATTTTTCTCATCTGAATGCAACCTTCGCTTCTGTTAAATTTACACTACTATTGTTTGAGAGCTGTCCTTTCAAGCTAGAATCACGTCTGCAGTGTTGTATAACAGTTCATTAGAACACCATTTCTCGATCCTCTGAGTAGTAGATGTGAAAATTAGGCTTTCCGTTAGCCAGAGTCCACCAGTGGCGGTTGAGTCTCAATTGTTGATTAAATGGCTTGTTGTAACTCAGTTTATTCTCAAGCTGAATTGAAATTTTACACTTCAGAATATGGATTTACTAAATATAATCATCAAGATGTCCAGCCTAATAATCATGATGAGCTATCAGATTTGAGTATTGAGTTTATTTTTTGTTTCTCACCATTTTGTTTGCCCTTTCAGGTATTTGTTTTGTTTAGCAAATTGTATGACCCTGTGCATTTTTATATAAAATTACAGTTTTGTCCTTTTGGTTTATTTGATGGTGGGGGAATCCAACAAATACCATATATTTAACTTGGGTGTTCTAGAAAATTGTTTATGTTTCAAACTTGCATGTACTTTGCTACAGTAACTTCACCAGAATTATATGTTGCTGCATATTCTGTTATCCAGAGCTGTTTGTTTGCTTCTGCTGCTGCTACATAGATTTTGTATTTTGGATACATAATACTTGTGTGCACTGTAATTGCTGCTGCTGTCACCAACCCTATTTAAAACACATCACATAAAAAGAAAGCACTTGAATCTACCAACAACAAATTTACTGGAAGGAAACCGCTAACAACTGGAAAGATTATTCTTGTTTTAAATGTGGTAACCAGGTTCTTCCACATTAATCTTGAGATTCTCTATCTGCACATTGAAAATTCAAGTAATATGGCTTGGCAAGTTTTCCACTCTCCTATTATCGACATGTTTAGTTCATCGCATTTAAAAGAAGAAAACCTGTGTCAATTGAATGTACTTCCATAGGTGATTGCGAGAAATTCAGGAAAGAAAATCAAATCTATCATTGGTAAACTTTAGGCAATTTGAATTACTTTTTATCTTTTGTATACTGTTAGCAGATTCCTATCTGCAGATGCTGAATACAGTATAATCAGTTGATTTAATTTTCAGCTACTACTGTAGATGCTTAAGCAGAAACTGTAAAGCTGCTTGTAATAAATATGTAAAAAAAATGTGGTGGCCAATGTAATTTTATTCTGAAGTAAATGGTTACAGAAAGCAGTATTTTCTACTTTATTCTTTGTGTATAAAAAGAAGCGAAAAGTGAACATTTCTGTGCATGTGATTGATTTTTAACTGACACTTCAACTTTTATTTCCAAACTATGTTAAACTATTCAGGGTCTTCCAAGATTACAACAATTTGCATTTATGTGTATGGTGGAGCTGGGGAGACCAGTGAGGAGGGTTTTGGAATAGTCCTAAAGATTATTGCGAATGGACAACTTATTCAAAGTTGCTTGCCTTTAGCTCCAACCAAAGTATGGAATATCTGTTGCACACTAGGACATTAATACAGAGAGCAATTCAAGCCTTTTTACCTGTACAGAAATTGGATACAGTCGATGTAATGGAATCTTCTATCAGTTTCTGATCATATCTGAGAATGAAATAAGAACCTACGTATCTTATTGTAAAAGCACAGAGAGCCTTCAGGTCAGGTCTAGAGCGTCAAATCAAATAAATCAATTAAAATAATCTCTAAAATGACCATCCTGTCTTAGAAACAGAATAGAGTCAGTTGTAGGTAAAAGCATCTCATCTTCACAATGGCTATCCTCCAGTATTAAAGGCAGTGGGTTTTGTGGCCTGTGGTATAACTAATGCTTTCGGGCTCCTAGTACCTCATTCAATTTGCCATTTTTCATATTTGAATGGTGAATGTTGGATTACAACAACAGGTGTCAGACTGACCTTGTCATCACCAAGTCCTGCATATAACTGGGTAGTAAAAAGCACATCTGATTTATTTCCTTCTCCCAACCCAGGGAACACCGAACTAATCACGTTACCAAAACTGATGCCTGTACCGAGAACACCTAATTACTGTCACTTGCAATGACTTGGGATTGCACCTGTGACCTTCCTCATCTACAGTATATGGGTCAGTACCAGACTGTTTACACACTTCACAGGATATCCAGTGTAGCACTGTTCAGAAGCAATCCACGAGTGAAGTAGAATAAGTGGATCTACATTGCATTTAACAATAAAGTCAGAGGTTTTATCAAGTTGTGGTAACTGTGGACTGTTCAAAATATTTTTAAGATTAAAATAAATTGAGAACAATAAAGAATGAACCATTTACCTCAATAGACCATATACCGTTTCCTCTGTGACATCTCAATTTATTTAGTCTTTGATGGAAGATGATCAATAAGATTCCAACATAAAACTTAATTTTATTAAATTAATAATGAGTGAATCTGGACTGGTTCTGCACCAACAATTGCAATACTGGAGTGAGTGTGTGGCAAAAAACATTTGATCTTTGTACATATATCATTTAAAAGTAACATGGTTTACAGTCTTTCTCTGATGTCAAGTTATTAACAGGGTAC